GTTGTGTTTTGATGTCGAAACGTTATTAAGTAATAGCAATTATGGTCTTATTGCATGTGCTGCATCCTCAAGTGCTTGGTATACCTGGATATCGCCACATTTAATTGAATTTAAAGAAAAGAGATTAGGAGAACTTTCCAAGAAAAATGGTGAGTGTAATAAAAATAAGAAGAAACCCCTAAAGCGAATTTTTATGGAATGATGAGACAAGATCGAAAAAGACAAAGCTACTAAGAAAAATTTTAAATGGTACTATTATAAATAACAGATATTGAAATAAATGACATTTCAGATCAGAATAATCAAAATTCGGCAAATGATGAAATTATTATCGGGAAAAAAAGTAAAAAAAAACCTACTGCTAGGAAAAAGAAAGAGAATAAGGGTCTTGAGAGTATAGAAAATGGGAATGAAGTAGATAACTTAAACCTTATTAGAGATCACGAAATTGGTAGTTTAATACCCATTGGAAGAGACAAGATAATAATCGGTCATAATGTTTCATTTGATCGTGCAAGGATCCAAGAGGAATATCATTATAAAGCATCTGGTAATAAATTTATAGATACGATGGCATTGCATATTGCTGTTAATGGATTATGCGGACAACAGCGTCCCACTTGGGTTAGATATAAAAAGGCCGAAGAGAATGGTGACGTTGGTAATGAAAAAGATTTTCAGTCAATATATGAAATTAGTTCAATGAACAATCTTCACGATGTTTACAATCTACATTGTAAAAAGAAAATAGAAAAGTCGATTGGTAAAGAATTGTTTATTAATGGGACCTTGGAAGAAATCGTTATCGAAGAAAATTTGCGACGATCATTAATCTATTGTGCCAATGATGTTTTAGCAACATTCGAAGTGTTCAAAGAAGTATTACCTCGATTTTTAAAGTTATGCCCACATCCCGTATCATTTGTAGGGATGCTTGAAATGGGAAATATGTTTCTGACTACTTCCAAGGATTGGGATGATTATGTACAAAATGCGGAAAAAGTCTACCTAACTAAACGTGATGCTGTTGAAAAAAGTTTACAACAGCTAGCTGATGATGCGGTTGAATTAGGTAAAAAGGATCCCGAATTCATAAAAACAGATCCATGGTTAAGCCAATTGGACTGGTCACTTCCTTCATCACGCTCGAAAAAACTTCCGGGATATCCAAATTGGTACCGTGACAATTATTGCAATAAGAAATGTAAACTTAAAATCACGCCTAAATCACGTATAGCACCTTTATTATTGAGATTAAAATGGCAGGATTTTCCACTATATTATTCAAGGAATTATGGATGGACGTATCGGGTACCAAGGGACGCTGATTATCAAACAACTGCGAAAGAATGCAAATTTTCACGAGATGATTTATCAGAAACTGAAATTAATAATGAAGATGTAGAAAATATTCATAAAAACGCGAATGAAAAGAAAAAAGGGTCCCCAAAGAAAAAATCAAATACGAAATCAAAACTATTAAAGGATGACTTTGAGCTATTTGCTAATGATCAAAGTGGAAAATATTATCGTGTTCCACATAAAGATGGCTTAGAAGCGAAATGTTTATTACCTCTTGCAAAACATTATATTGCTTTATTTGAGAAAGGTGTTTTAACTTCTGAACATAAAGTGGCGAAAGATGCACTTACTATGAATGCGAATTGTTCTTATTGGATAAGTTCCCGAGAAAGGATACGGAAACAAATGGTCATATATGAGGATCATCCCAATATTATGAAAAATATGGGATTCGAATCTGACAATGAAAAGAAAGTTGGAATGATCTTACCACAAACTGTAACGATGGGGACCATAACGCGTCGCGCCGTTGAGAACACATGGATGACAGCTAGTAACGCAAAAAAGGATAGGATAGGGTCAGAGCTTAAAGCTATCATTCAAGCCCCCAAAGGATATAAAATTATTGGAGCTGATGTGGATTCTGAAGAGTTGTGGATAGCAAGTTTGATAGGAGACTCACAATTTGGATTTCATGGTTCAACTGCAATGGGTTGGATGACATTGCAAGGAAATAAAGCTGCCGGTACAGACCAACATTCCAGAACCGCGAATATTTTAAAGATTTCACGATCTGATGCAAAAGTATTTAACTATGGCCGAATTTATGGAGCCGGTTTGAAATTTGCAATTCAATTATTAAAACAATTCAACGAGACAATGGGAGATTCCCAAGCTAAAGAGCGTGCAAATGATTTATATAATCACACGAAAGGTAAAAAATTTTATGCCAGAGGTAAGATCAAATCTCCCTATGAACTTTTTTGGTACGGAGGAAGTGAAAGTTATATGTTTAATAGGCTAGAAGAGATTGCAACAGATGAAAATCCTCAAACGCCAGCGTTAAGATGTGGTATAACTGAAGCGCTAAAAGGAAATATCGTTCACAATCATTATATGACATCTCGAGTAAATTGGGTGGTTCAATCATCTGGTGTCGATTATCTTCATTTACTTTTGGTATCTATGCAGTATCTGATGGAAAAGTATAAAATTGAAGGAAGATTTATGTTATCGGTTCATGACGAAGTTAGGTTTCTCGTTAAAGAAACCGACAGTTATCGTGCAGCACTAGCTCTTCAAATAAGCAATTTTTGGACGCGCGCTATGTTTAGTTACATGTTGGGAATAAATGATTTACCCATGGTAAGTAAATGATTAAATTAAAAATTTTGATTTTATAATTTCAAGTCTTGTTTTATATTATTATTCCTTTTTTTTTTTAGTCAGTCGCATTCTTTTCAGCGGTTGACATTGATCATGTCCTGCGAAAAGAAGCTGATTCAAGTTGTAGAACTATTTCTTATGATACCGAAATTGAGGATGGAGAAAGTTTAACAATACATGAACTACTTAAGCATAAAAGTTCACTAATACCGCCCGATGAAAACGATCGGAATAACGGAGACGATTATAGTGAATTTCATAATGACAAAGTCAATTATAATGAAAATGAGTTACTTTTACTGAACCCGTGTAAAGCTGCTAAAGACAAAGAATATTTAACAATTCAAGGATTATCAAGTGAAGAGGAGGTCGAGAATTTAATATCGAAGAACCACCCAAGGTATTCAAATTCATTTAATAATAATAATAATAAATGACAAAGCAAATAAAGAGTCTCTAATATATTTAATATGTTAGGATCAGTAGATTTAAACTCAAAAATGGACGGCAGTTCAACCTTAGGACACTGTAATTCTTTTTTTTTATGATCGGTACTTTTTCTTTGTATATTTCATCTTGGCATTATTTTCTGTTTCATAGTCTATCTTACAAAATTAAATGTAGATTAAATAAAAATTTTTTTGTTAATAAAACAATTCTTAATTTGCTAAAATTTGAAATTAAAGCAAACACTTACTCCAGGTACATAATCATGGCTTCTATATACCTCCTTTTCACTTTTTTGTCTTCCGTTTTCCCAAATGGTTTGACATTCATTTCTTAGTTTTTGAACATAATCCTGAACGCATGGTCCACGAGTAGTAGACATGAAAAACCGAATGGCGTGATCTAGCTATTGAGTAGAAAGAAAATAATATAATGTCGTATTTATTCCTTTTATTCTTTAATGCATAAATTACCAATTACCTTCATTTCATGATATTGCTTATTGTAATAAGCAGGGGATTCTAACATATAGCTATCAATCGCCTTTCTCAGAGCTTGAGTACAATGACTAAATTGAGACGGACTTTGTAAGGGTTATTTTTAATTAATAATATCCTTGTAAATTAATTATAACATTTACCCCGCTGAAAATCGATTATCCACTTGTAAACAGTCTTTCAAACGTCTCTGAAGGATATCATCAACAGCACTAAAACTTTTTCGTTCTTTTCGATCTAAAATTTCTTTCCCAAGTTGTCCAAATAATAACTCTTGTAATGCTATACATCCAGACATCCATTGATTGACATTAGGAAGCTATTATAATAAAAGTTACTCACGAAATATTAATCATTGCATTTGAAAACTATTAAATATGATGATAAATATAATAAATGCACACCTCGCTTGGTGGCATCCCACGTTTAACGAAATTTCTCGAGTATCCATTAACGGTCCATTTCACCCAATTATGTGCAAATTCTCTCAACAATTTAATTTCAAAATGTTCAGCACCTCTAGATTCTAATTTTCTTTTTTTAAGTAAATCATCAATAGCATTCTCAATCTTGCTCTCTTGTGAAATTTTAGCCTTAGAAATTAAAGGAGTAATTGAATCAGATGATAATAAATTGCCCGTAGAACCACGTGTAATTAGATGCACAAAAAACTGATTGGAAGGAGGAGGAAGAGTAAATAGTTGACGGCTAAAATAAAAGATACCAACTTTTTATTGTATGTAATTAAGGACACTTTCTAAATAAATCATTTGGTTTATTATAAATATTAACATACCCGTCGAATGATGCATGGATATCACCAGTTTGCATAAGATGACATGCACGAAATAAGAAGCGAATACGGGCCTGCAAGGATTCTTTGATCCTTTTAATACTACCTGAAGATGCCTATTCACACAGTAGAAGCATATTATGTAAATGATACTGTGTCACATGTTACATTAATTTATTTTAAACTTAATTCATTATTTGACCTTATCATGAATAGAATCTGATTTGTGTCCATCAGTTGAAGAAACAGACAATTGCACCTATTGAAATAAGTTAGTATGAATCAAGAAAATGCAATGAAATAAATAAATTTTAAATATTATTAACCTCTTGAAATAAGAAAAGAAGAAAGGGAACGCAACGTCCAGGTGCTGTCACTCCACCCTGCGCCGTCCACCCTCTTCCACCGTATACACCATTAGAATATGACCCATAAGGGGATGGTATTTCGAAACTCTGCCAGCACAAATTCAAAAAATTCGTTGCATGAGGTAAAATATGCCTTTTAACGGAATGTATTGTCTTGAGAAGTGAGACCATATTTCCATCTAATTTAGATATTGGTTGCGTGAACTTGAAGGTTTGAGAAGATGCAAATGATTAATAACTCCGGTATTTCATCAAAAGTGAGAGAACAATAAATATACATACCATTACTACGTGAGATAGCATAAACATAAATACGAGCATTCGTAAATAAACGTGTTCGTGTTTCCATATCCAATTTTGAAAATCTTGCTTTATTATCGTCACATACAAATAAACTCTTAATCAATACTACATACTATAACATTTAAACTAGAATTAAACGTTTTACCTCAGTTTCAATTGTTAACCGAGAATTTTCCCAAAGTTGCAACATGGTTTCACTTTCATTAACCGAATCGATAAGTAAATACACGATATTCTTCGATGCATCACAATACATCCATAGTCCGCACTAAAAAAAAAAAAAATTTATTGTTAAAGAAAAATAAAAATTTTGATACGTACGATCAAAATCTATGGTATCCCTTACATTATTCCCATTTGATATCAACAAAATTGCTCCTTTCGGTCGATTATAATTAATTTTTTCATTAGGTATCTAACGATTAAGGACAGAGAATAAATATAAATATATTTAACTTTTTGATTATAGTGCTGTTAATTTTATACCTGACCAAATACATTCTTTTCTACTATAGCGTTTGCAATTAAATGAAGTTTCGAAGTAGTTTCAGACTGAGAAAAACCAATGAAAGAAACGACAGAAATTGGTGCTGCCTCTTGAAGTTTAAAATCTTTAAGAGTATCTGTTCACGAATTCATATATATATATATATATATATTTGGAATATTTTTTTTTTAAAAAAAAAAAAAAAAAAAAAAATTTCAAATTTAAAACGCGACAAAACCTTCAATTTTATTCTTTAAAGTGACAAAACTTTGACTTTCTTCCGAAACTGGTGGTTCTTTTGGGGAGTTTGATGAACTTATACTTTCTATTACAACGTCGTCTTCGGTTGAAACAGTTGAAGATAATTGCTCTTCCATATGAGGCTATTATCTCGTGTTATAAATTATAAAATAGTAATACGCGAATTTATTAAATTTTGGCCAGTGTGCCTGCATGTTCTTTACTACGGTTTACCTCAGAGATCATGTGATATTTAAGGAAGTACTAAAATAAGTGATCAGCTTAGCTTTTGTACTTTTTTTGTTTCCGAAAGAATTTTCTCTCAACTAACATGTTTAGAAAAGAAAAAATTAATTTTGGATACTACGCGTTAAAAATCCACATTTCTCAAAAATTATAAAAATTATGTATAACACCAATAATATCTTTTGGAATTCTTTACGACAACATTAAAGATTTTTATTAATTGCGTTAATACTTAACATATTAAAATCGGCATATAGGAGGATTTCTAGGAAAATCAGGTTCCGAGAAATTTTTTAACTAAATTAAGAGCTTAATGCATTTTAATCTAAAAAATTCTCGAAGCCTGATTTTCTTTGCCAATCTACCCATATTATAAATAACGTTTGAAGAAATAACTGAACCATTTAACTTTTAAAACTTACGAAGCGAACGAACATTTTGAGACAGAATTCAAATTACATTTGAAAAAGAATAATTTAAAAAAAAATTTTAAATAAATAAAAATAAAAGCGGATATTAAAAATAAAATTTAACTTAGGGGAGGGCCAGAAATGACGTCATTTAATAATGGAGGGGGGGGCTACTACAAGATGACGTGACACAAAATCAATTTTCCATTTAGGATTTTTGGAGGGGTCCTGCAACAAGATGACGTGACACAAATTAAATATTCCATTTTAAGTTAATTAAGTAATACAATTTCGAAATTTAGTATTACAATATCAATAATATTAATGTAAATGCAAGTGTTCTATTGATAAGAAAGTCGCCTCATGACTCTTGTATAGAAATTTGTACTGATTCCCAAGCCGCTATCTCCTCTTTTCACAAATTGTCATTCATCTTCTGTGACTCCTTATCAATTAATCCTGCTTTCAAAATCCCATACTTTCACATTTGGTCAATACTCTTCAGCCTTATTGCTCAATACAACATCTCTGTTTCGTTCACCAAAGTACAAGCTCACAAAGATGATCATTGTAATAATACTGTTGACAAATTAGTAAAACAATTTCCTGCATAACCATTATCAATTAACAAAGACCATCTAGGTTCAGGTTATTACCTATGTTACGCTTCCAGTCTAATAATAGCTCCTCATCGGCTATTTATCAAAAATAAAATACAAGTGGTATGGGCAGAGTCTTTGCTTTCACTGCCTCACCTCAACAAATATTGTGATAAACCTATAGATTAGCCTCTTCTTTTCAAGATCCTAAATGACGAAGAATCATCTTGCAAAACATCATTTATTGAATGTTTTAAAAAGAAATTTAAAATTAGAATGTTGCTTCAACTGCTTCCTACTTTAAAGGTAGTTAACTCTTGTATTCCTACACTATACACTTCAACAAGATGTATTCGTTATCACTCTTACACTAAAGATTTTGAACACTTGTGGTTCTGTCCTAGTAACTAACCTAACATTACTGAGTTAATCAACACACACAAGACCAAATTTATTACCCAACTCTCTGAGTTAAATACTCTTAAAGATGATTATCTAGTTCAAGAAATACTATCTGATCCTATTTTGAATATATCACCCACCTCTACAGAATTTTGTTTCTTAGACATAATTAAAGGGATTATACCATTATCTTTACCAAATAAAGTAACAGCTTGTCTTTCTGCCAAAGATTTATCACATAGTTTTTTATCCTCCTTCTATCATGAGGTCTCCATATCTTGTTATGAGATATGGTTATAAAGGAATGCTGCACTAAACGATTGGAAAATTGCAAATAACTTTGAAGAAGTTTATACCATTCCTTGGGTTTCCTCAGGTTTCTCACATTCATCTCCCATCCCCTCAACCTCACACCCCACATCCTTCATAGCAGCTACCGCCTATGGCTTTCACTGGTCAAATTTTTGGAACGGCAGTAACCACACTCTCCCTTCCAGACGTTTGATAACTGTACAATAGTTTAGTTTAGTTAGGTTTCTCTTTTCTTTTCTTTTCTGTTTATAGTCTAGTTCGGTAAAGTGCAAGGTTGGTATTGATAAAATAGTTTAGTTTAAATTAATTTATAGATATTTTTGTATTTTTTATTTTATTATATATACTCAGTATTATATAAATTTAATAAAGATTATGCAAAACTGCCGCACTTCAAAAAAAAAAAAAAATTCTGTTGATAAGAAAGATAAGAAAGGGATTTTTTTTTTAAAATAGGAAATTTTTTTTTTCTTAAAAAAAATTGAAAAAAAAACTGAAAAATGTAGAAATTTACGCAAATGATAATTATGCGGTTGCTCTTTTTTTCCTTTTGTTGGATTAATATTTTATAATGAAACAAACATACTTTAGGCAAACTGAAATATTCCAAAAATTATATTATTCAAAAACTAAGAAATCTTTATAAGGAGTTTGTGAATGCTTTTTGCATTTCATAAAATAGTAATTACCAATAATGAAAGACCAAGTAAAAAAAAACTTTAGGAACGAGCCCAAAATAGCTGGTGAGAAATAAAAATGAAAGACAAAGATTTTATCTGAAATCATATTTTCAAATTATTACAAACACCTATTCCTTCTCCCTTAAATTTTTTTCACAACAAAAGTCCGCAAAAAATCCTCCAAAACCAATTTTAGAACCTCCAGAACCTCTAGAACCTAAACCTGAACCTCTAAAACCTTTTCTCATGTCCACTTTTTCACAAAATGTAACGGTACAAAAACAATTGCATAAAAATTTTTAAAAAACAAAGCTGATATATATGAATACAATAACCTACTAAGAGCTGCCACATCATCAGAACTTGTTCGCAATTCACCTCAAAATTAAAAAACTTGAAAATATAGTTGTATTGGAAGAAAAGAAGCTCAAGAAATTAAAGGGTAACACAGAAGCTTGACAACAAGCTCAAAATAAAAAACAAGAAAAATTGAAAAAAGAAAATATTGTTGAAATGTACAATATATCAGGTTATCCATCATTTTTGTTAAATAATCCTGAACTTTTAAATAAAATACATGACAGTGTTGAGTTTAGCGCTGTAGACCACAAAAAGCGAAAGAAAATAATTAAAGTACAGACTGTTAAATATCTTTGTGAGAAAATGAAGGAGAATTACAATATCTATATGACGAAGTCCACATTGCAAAACTATATACAACTCAGATATCTAGCAATAAAAGAGGCCTAAAGACATCATCATTCTGCACAAATCCGTTTAGCAGCTGTTGGAAGAAATGAAATGAGTAGTCATATAAATGAATATTACTGCTTAGTTTCAGTCAAAAGCGTAAAATCATTCGCATCAGCTTTTCCTAGGGATATTGTATTAATTTCACAAGACAACAAAGCAAAGATACTTATTTACAACCTTTTTTTAATATTATATTTTAAATATTTAATTCTCAAAGTTCTGTAGGTTCCTATTGGTGTAGCTGCAGTTGGAAGAATATTTAAGGCTGTTCAAACAGCAAGTGAACCAGTATCTGTCTCTAATCATGATTTTCCTAAAGCTCCAAAGTATAAACTAATTCCATCTATCTACCTAATGGTCGATCCTTCTGATACAATTTCATTACGCTCTGAAAAGATGTGAATTTTTGTCTGTCTAAAGTATTTTTTGGATACAAACTGTGAAACACATATAGTTGATCTTATGTCAATCACAAAGGAGAGTCTTTTAACGAATTTACGTATTATGAAGATTCTGTAAAACCTTTTTGGTATTTGTTAACAGATGGTAGTCCAGACAAAAATTCACGATTCCTTACCAATATTTCAAAATATTTATTGCTTTTCAAAAACTTAATCTAGATTATCTTACTGTTCAAACACACGCACTAGGGCAGTCTGCTTATAATCTAGTAGAGCAAAGCATGACATCACTTTCTAGTAAATTGGCTGGTATTGAACTAAATGCATTTATATATGGGAAACATCTCAGAAGTGTTAGTGGAAAAGTTGCTGTTGTGAATAAAGATCTTGAACGTCGTAACTTTAAACATACAGGAGAGCGTTTATGTAAACTTTAAGGGTATGACAATATCAAAGGTCATCCAATTGTTACCACATATATTGAGAAGCATGATCAATTGGATTTTTTAAATATAAACGAAGAATCATGGGATTGAATCAATAGACATAGCCAAATTTGCAAGTATTCTCTTGACTTAAGAAAGTATGAGGATCGAAATTGCTATAGGCAACCACGTGCACCCAAAATTTATAATCTTTTATTCAGAAATAATGATTCTTACCACCTGTCATACAAGGCCTTGATGATCATTTTCTAAATCTAATTCATACTTTGGAATATTTTAAAAAGAATTTACCAGGCTATGATGAACATTGTCCTAGCGTAACTTCAGATTTATATCACTATCTTGTATGTCAAAAATGCTTTAAATATTTTCCATCAAAAGTGTTTTTGTAGCAGCATACTAAAACAACTCATCTAAAAGAAAAAACAAAAATGAGAATTAATGATAAAAAATTCAAAAATTTATCACAAAATGATAAACGCAGTGATCATATGAAGGATATATA